GACCATCCTAAGCACGTATCTTTCTGGCATCCTATCTTTATCCGTCTCCACAGTGTCATAAAACTATAGATAGGACCACATCTGTGGAATGTGTGCACATGTGTGTAAGCTTCAAGCAGTTTGTTGCTGAGGATCTTTGAACTGGGCAGTTGAGCCACGTGTCTGTCTCCTTCTCTTCCATGATCACAACTATGGAAGTCAAATCTGAGACATATTTTTAAACAGGTTTTGGTAGCTGTTTGTATTACCAGAGCGTTGTTTTCACTTTCTGAATTTTTTTTTTGGGGGGGGGTACCAGGGATTGAACTCAGGGGCACTCAAACACTGAGCCACATCCAGCCCTTTTTTGTATTTTATTTAGAGACAGGATCTCACTGAGTTGCTTAGTGCCTCACCATTGCTGAGGCTGGCTTTGAACTCACTCTCCTCTTGCCTCAGCCTCTGTAGCAGCTAGAATTAATTACAGGCGTGCACCACCGTGCCCTGCTGAAATTTTTGTTTCAAAAAGTCCTCACAATGCATCTATTTTTTGGGACTTGGAGTGGAGAGAACCTTTCCAAATAGGGCATGAAGCCCAGAAGTCATAAAGAAAAAGATCAATAAATTTGACTACCAAAAAACTTAAAAAAAAAAAAAACCCAAACACCCTCTCAAACCTTTATGATTGGAATGAATTCCAGACACAAAGTAAAAAAAAAAAAAATGCATGATAGAAGGCTAATGCCTTTATTTACTGGATCCTTTATGAATGAATAAGGAAATTGCCCCCAAAGACAGGTGATAAATATACCTGTAAAAGAGAAAAGCTCAACCCCTGTCTTAAAAGAGATGAAAATCTATACTGCTAGGCAATCAAGGCGTGAGTAGAAAACCTGCTGTGGAGTCAGAGTATAAATGCCAATTTATACAGCCTATTTCAGTATTCCAAACTAAGATTTTCTGAAGAGCCTCAGAAGTATACGAACTGAATTCTTCTTGCCCATTATTCCTCGTCTTGGCCCCTGTGGACATAGAACCAGCTGCTCATTAAGTAACTTTCTGTTGCCTTCTCAGCTCGAAGCCTAATCCTTCCTGTCTGCTCCCTCATGTTGGGGGAACCAGTAAGAGAATTATCTAGGTCAGAGTGCCTGTCACAGGGATTTTTGGGGCTAGTTCCTCCGTTAATAAGAAAAACGATATTATCTCAGTCACTCAGAGGATTCAGGTTCTCAGAGATTCTTAACAATAAGACCATTATCAGTTTATGACTTTTCAATTTTTTTTTTTGACTGGTTTGAGAAACTTAAAAAGGCTGTAAAATGGCTTAGATTCTTTTTCTTGCCCTTGCTCTAGGAAGCCTAACTCTGGGAGAAGAAGCCGGTGACGGCTGCTACCCAAGAACAGATTGTAGGGATAGCAAAGGGACATGTTGGGAG